TCGCCCAAGAACATCGACCCCTTTCATGCATACACCACCGTCTTTGGACACAGTATCTGATTTGCTGAACTTTAGTGGGAGTAACGAGACCGTGGTTCTTAACCCCGAAACTATAGGACCAAAATCACCAAATAAAGAACAAAAGGATGCAGCCATGCAGCAACTTGGCGTAGATGTAAAGGAAGAATCTGAGTCTGAACCCCCCACTTCTTGCAAAGAGCCAAGCAGCAGTAGCCCAGTCATCACTCGATCCCAGTCCAAATAAGGAGAAATCATGTTTGTGATTACACATGACTCGGGTTGAGCAAATTCGATGATGTCTTTTTTCCCATCTCTTTGCTTTTTGTTGTTTGGTATTTGGTCTAAATATAAAATCCAACTTGGCTAGTACAAGGGTTGTTTTCTGTTACATTTAACATCATATTCCGAGAAGGATGTTAAACTTGAAGTCAAAGAAATATATTTTGAAGAATACAGCTTTGTCTTTTGTCAAATCCTTTAAAATGCCAGGGAAATTGTACAGGTATAAATTTATAATTATTTGAAGACATTTTATTTCTATTGATTTTTCGTCTGCTTTCTCTAATGAAGTTGCACAATGGAGTTATTGCCTATTTCTTAGCCATGTCTTTTATTTTAGTTACTGTTATTCACATATATACTGACACGACACATTGGCGGATCCAGAGGGGGGGGGGGGTTCCGGGGGTTGGAACCCCCCCCCGTTATTTTTTTACAAGTGGGGAGAGAGAGAGAGAGAGAGATAAAACGTTATCAGAGAAAAAATATTTGTACGTCTAACGTATGTATTGAATAGATAGATTCCCACACATTTACTTTCCTCCATTCACCTTCATTATTTCTTTTTTATGAGCAAATGTAAGAAAATATTCTACTTATTTTACTATACCTTATATACGATATGTAACATGCAAGGTTTAATTTGATATGAGATAACCGCAATCTGTGGCTGTGTTAGCTATATATGTACCCTTTTTATCATATCTTTTGAAGGAACTAACTCGCAACTCCCTGTTTTAAACCCCATCTGCATCTTACCCCCAAAACGTTTTTTCAAATTCTAAATTGAAAATTCTTTTTACTCTAATTTGGAAATGCTGCAGATCCATTCAATTTTATAAGGCTTCAGTAGTTTTTGAAGATTTTTTTTTTTATTCGGATTTGAGGTACCTTTTCAAAGAAAAAGGGGATTTAAACAAAGATATTATTTACCACATTAGAACTTTCAATACGTGTGTGTGAATCTTTGCTTGAGTGTGTAGAGGGGTGGGGGGTTGAGGGACACAACCCTGGAACCCCCCTTTTCAAAATTGCTGGATCCGCCCCTGCGACATACATACTGACACGAAAAGAAACGCAACACCCTTTATTAGGGGGAAATAATTATGTACAGTAAAGAATTTTGTATCTTAAATTATGAATATTTTCAATTTGGTAAACATCAGTAAATTAACTGTTGAACGATTTCCATACCATAATTAACCGGAAGTCATGTTTCCGTCTGCTTAACATAAATCAAAAATTGCATGTTTAACAAAACATTTGGCAATATTATGGAGTTTTAAGGGTTTTTTACTGTTCATCATTAGTAACACAGCAATATTTCAAAAAATAAACTCTATTTTCGTTTCCCCAAACTATGCTAAGGCTACTTGAAAATGGCTTATGAAGGCATTTCCATTGCTGTAGCTGGAAAAATTTAATTTAAAGGTGATAGAGAGTTGCTGATGCGAAATTTCACTATATTTCGCCTCAGCGGGGTCTTACGTATCATATCATAAAGGACAGTCCTTGTTCCGGAAGTCCAAGGGTGACTACACTGCTCCAAGTTAGAGAAAATTTGACCTAATTATCTGAAAAACAAGCATTTAAAATATCAAAGAATAATTCCTTCGCTGAGATCTCGATATTAAATGAACCTTTTGTATCGTAGAAATTAAGCTGCAATTGTTGTTTAGGGCAGTCTTGCACGGATTACTTGAATGGCTCGGAGGGTGTTTTAACAGTCATATTTTTCCTACTAAAGAAAACAGATAAACATTTCACATTTTTATCAAATCTCTGATGTTCTGAAAAGTGAATTTAGCCTTATTTTATTCACTTTTGAAAACCATAAGATAAAAATTCAAACATTTGTAAATTACTGTTTGCTGCGTTTCTTTTGCGTGTCAGTATACTTAGAGAAACCGTGTAAGTCATTTTAAATACTGTAGATTGGGAAATATTCACGGTGGTTTTAATTTCGCTATGTTCGCGATTTATTAATTTTCCGCGAAATTAAATCCATCGTGAATGTTATCTTTAGTTTTTAATTATATTAAATTACTATAGGAAATTTTGAATCAATTTCTCGTAGCGTGAAATTAAAACCATCGCAAACGGTACTTTTTGAGATATCGTGAAATTTTAACACCGTGGAATTAAACCAATTTACAGTACTTAGGACGAGAAAATGCTTCCTAGTGTACCAAACATTTATGACTGGTACATTTCTATAAGAGTTAATTCTGGATCAAATCACTTTAACATAGTCCAGTGCGCCGCCACTGCCATCTGTTGGATTTCAACCCCATGTATGTAAAACGTTGTAAAATTCATACTTAGCAAAGCATACACACCAAACTTTAAGGAAATATTACTAAAAACTATTTGAAAATTTTCACCTCCATTCAAAAAAAGGGTAGTAATCACTTTTTCCGTAGGATTTTATATATAATATGGCAATTTTTTTATAGTACGTTTTTAGTATTGCGCCCACAGGCACTTGTTTCTGTAATAAATATTTGACCTATAGTATAATAATAACACTGTTGTTATTATTATTATACTATGGGTCAAAATTTTATTACAGAAACAAGTGCCTGTGATTGCACCGCCTTCCTACGACAGGCAATGAAATGGGTCTTTTAAATTAAATGAGATAAATTTGTGTAGTAACTCAATATTTGTCCATAAATTTATTAGATAGTGTTGGTTTAATCTATATACGAAGTTTCATTAATGTATGACATAGGCTTCCTTTAATAGATCACAAGGTAACAAATCCATTGCCAAGAGCCGCAAACATTTTAATTCTTCCACCACACAGGCACCTGACGTTACTTATTTTTCTTTTAATAAAAAAAATATACACATACCTAATAATGAACAAGGTACCCATCGAAAGCCGCCATCTTGGATTTTTGAAGTAGGTCATCACTTGCATTTTCGTCTGAAACTCCGTCAAATAAATTCCCTGCAACCATATTCTTTCTGTGGCCAGTCTTTCGATGTCTAAACTTACGGACACTGCAACCAGAAAGGCGCATCACACTTGCAAATATTGAAAATCCCTCGTCAAACTCGACCTACTGCTTCAACATTCCGAGAAATCGCCAAAAGGGGGCCGGAAGTTTACATCAATATGCTAATGGGAATTCCGTATTTGTCAGTTTTGTGGTGGATCTAAAACGGCGTGTTATAATTACTTTGAAATTTTAATAACTATTTCGATTATAGAAATGAAAAAAAAAATGCAAAATGGGTAAAATAAAACACTTCTTATAAATATACCTATAAAATATACTGTATTAATCTATACAGGTCGTTGCGTTCGAAACAATCTCCAATAAAAGAGGGGGGTGCTTGAATTAAAAAAAAATCAACAACAAATCATCTAGAGTTATTTAAATCGTTTTCAAAAAACAAAAGACTGCAAACCATCCAGTTATATATATATATTATATACATATATACCTGGCATATGCTTAATTGAAAAAGGAGAGGGATCACACGTACTGATTTATAAAAAGATTTGTAATGAAATCAAATATAAGCCTTTGCAACATGTATATGTATAAATCTGTCACCAAGAAAAAAATAAAAATATCGCCATGCCACTACTTTATTGCAATACATAAAATTGCAAACCTAAACACTCCCTGGGATAATTTTAGTATGCCCCCCCCCCCTTCTCACATACGTGCGTACATACTTTAAATAAATAAAGTCAATCTTCTCCACGGATAGCGCTCAATCAGGGCATCAATAATGATTGTGTTATTAATAATATTTAGTGCATGTAAGTAGGGACTTATAACCGACTCAATTTGTCTCGAAAATGTTGATCAGCTAGCATGACCAGGGCGATCTTCGACATTTAAAAAATAAAATCGCTTTGATCAAGCTATATCGAATTTATTTGAGAGAAATAAAATGAAATTCAATGTTCTTACATGTATATTACGTTGTATTTTATTGTCTGAATTATTGTATTTGGAATAAGAACTAACTTTCGCTGGTTAATTTTAAAAATAAATCGTACAAATATATTGACCAATCAAAAAAGGGCTTTCCCTAAGAATTTCAAGTCGTGTGTAAACTTCCGGCCCCCTTTTGGCGATTTCTCGGAATGTTGAAGCAGTAGGTCGAGTTTGACGAGGGATTTTCAGTATTTGCAAGTGTGATGCGCCTTTCTGGTTGCAGTGTCCGTAAGTTTAGACATCGAAAGACTGGCCACAGAAAGAATATGGTTGCAGGGAATTTATTTGAAGGAGTTTCAGACGAAAATGCAAGTGATGACCTACTTCAAAAATCCAAGATGGCGGCTTTCGATGGGTACCTTGTTCATTATTAGGTATGTGTATATTTTTTTTATTAAAAGAAAAATAAGTAACGTCAGGTGCCTGTGTTCCACCAGTAGAGCCAGAAGCAACTACCAGTGATTATTCAGAAGAGGAGGAAGATGAGTTAGCTGTTTACCTTGCAAAGACTTATGGGGAAATAAGAAGTGCTGGACATGACCCAGCATCATTAATAAGGTACACGGTCCAGTTTGTCATAAAATCTGAACTACAAAACCAAACACTGGCAAGTGTTTTATTTGTATTCTTACAATGCACATGCAGAAACTTATGTTCTGATTAGTCTGTTGAATATATGAAATCACTAGATGCATAATAAAATAATAAAAAAAAATCACTACTTTATTTTTAGCAGGTATGGTGAGGAATGTGGAGTCATCTGTAGATGATGTTTATGAATGGCTATTAAAGAAGGGTGTTTCTCAGAAGATTAGCCAGATTTTTAGAGGTAAAAAATGACAGAATATCCTATTCCTATATTAGGCCTTAGTGTTTAATGTTAAATTTTTAATTTTTTGGGCCCCGCAAGGATTTGCGGGTGCCCTATAGTAATCACTCTGTCTGTCTTCCGTCCACAAATTTTCTGTTTTTTCCTAATAACTTTTTTTATAGTTGCCCAATCAAATTCAAATTTGGTATGGTAGTTCAGTATGCAGAAATACATATTTTGATGCTAAGTTTGGTTCTCAATGTCTTCTGGTTTGGAGCTCGGGTGGTGGAGTAGATTCCTTAACTTTAGAATGTTTTGGCAAAGAGAGATAATTGCTGAAGATGTTCCCATTGTAAAATGAATGCTGGCTATGAGTCCTTTGGGATTAATTAGGTTTCCTCCTGAAGAAAATCCAGAGCATTATCTTTATCTGTCAGATTGAGATGAATTACCGCCTCTGTCTGCAAATAAAGTTTGTTTTGAAGTTAAGTCAATTTGGAATGCTATGATCACTGAAATATGTATTTGGATATAAATTTTTAATAATTTATTTTTGTTTCATAGTTATGATTTCATTGAATTCTAAAAACAAGATATAGATTAATTAAAGAAGATTTTTTTTGAATTACTTTTTTCACTTTATGTTTATTAATTTTTAAGGTAGTTTTATAAAAACACCATTCTATCATTAATACTGACAAAAGTTCTTATTGTAACTTTAGAAGAAAATGATGAGAGAGGCACAATTATCCTTTGGGATCAATTATCTAGCCTGTTGCAGAAAATTTTGTAGGCTTTTCTTTATCATTAAGATTAATGAAAACCTTTGTCTGCAACTGCTGTTTGTTTGAAGTTAACACAAGCTTCATAATTGTTTAATACATTCAATGTTAAATTGTTCTTTACTGCCTAATGTAATTACAATTATTTTCAGGTTTTTGAATATTCAGGAATTATCTTGAAATTATGAGAATACAGTTGCTGTTGCTTATTCTTCGTACATTTTTTAATTATTCCTTTATATGCACCCTTTTAATTCTACCCCAAGGCGGGGCCCTTGCTGACTTGTTAGTTTTCTAGTTGCTTCTCGCAGAAATGTATTCTCATTGAAATCTTGGTTCTCCAACCGAAATGGAGTCCAATCACTTGGAAAGAAGTGGTAGTATAAGCCACTGTTGTTCATTCGTATATCATTGGTTGTCACACGCAAGTCCAAATTATCCACATTGATCTTTCCATTTTTCCCATCTTTGATAGCTTTTAAAACCTTTGTTGTAGATTCACGTCCGAATTCTTTAATAATTGTTCTTTTGCTTTCTGCTGACAGTGTCAAATTGATTTTATTAAGACGTTCCAAGAGCTGAACGCAGACCTGCCTACCCTTTTCGTTTTGAGGGTGTAATTTTAGAAAATGTTTGGTGGAATTTCAGAGGTAAAAGCGTAATAAACCTTCATGTTTTCCTACTTTGTCGTTTTACAATAATGTATTTCTTCAGACCCACCGAAATTGTACAATACTTTTAATATTCCACAGAGCCAAAATGAATTTGAACTACCTTATATATATTGGATTCCGAAACTTCATAAAAGTCCTTACAAACAAATATACATTGCAGGTTCCAGTAAATGTTCAACCAAGCCTCTTTCGTTACTTCTCACTAAAATATTGACAGTAGTGAAGGAAAAACTTCAAGAGTACTGTACAACTGTATATTCAAGAAGTGGTGTAAATCAGATGTGGATACTTAAAAATTCTAAAGAACTTTTGGACAATTTGAAATCACAAGACTTTACAAAAATCAACAGCATAAAAACTTACGACTTTTCAACTTTATACACAACAATTCCCCACGACAAATTAAAATCCAGGCTTTTTGATATCATTCACAGCTGCTTCTTCAACAAAAATGGAACTCGTAAGTTTACTTACCTTGTCATTGGTCATTTGAAAAATTATTTTGTTAAAACAGATTCTGATTGCACACATAAGTACTCTGAAGTTGACATCAAGAAGATGCTTGAGTTTCTGATTGACAATATCTATGTGTTTTATGGAGACCAGGTATTCCAACAATCTATTGGAATTCCCATGGGTACGAATTGCGCTCCGTTATTAGCAGACTTATTTTCATATTCATATGAAGCAGAATTTATGCAAAATCTTTTACGTGAAAAGAAGAAAACACTTGCTGTGGCCTTCAACTCGACATTTAGATATATCGACGACGTATTGTCTATTAATACTGATAATTTCCATTCCTACGTCGACACGATATATCCTGGTGAGCTTGAAATAAAAGATACCACAGAGTCCGACACTTCTGCTTCATACTTGGATATTTTACTTGAAAAAGACACTAATGGTAATCTTACAACCAAGCTATATGATAAACGTGATGACTTTAACTTTTCTATCGTCAACTTCCCTTACTTATGCAGCAATATTCCTTCATCACCTGCATACGGTGTATTTATATCTCAGTTGATTCGATACGCAAGAGCATGCTCTACGTATGAACAATTTTTTAAACGAGGTAAATTATTGACAAGCAAGTTGATGAAACAAGAATATCAACAGTCTCGTTTAAAGTCATCATTTCGTGAATTATATGGTCGATACAATGACCTTGTCAGCAAATACAATTTATCATTGAATGAAATGCTGACTGACGTTTTTCATACCAATTGTTAGTCCATTATTTATACACAGAATTGACCAAGGATTTTTTCCGTTATATCCTGATTATGACATGGAGCACACGGCGGGTGTGACCGGTCAGCAGGGGATGCTCAGTCCTCCATGGCACCTGATCCCAACTCTGGTGTTTCAGAGGTCCGTGTTTGTTCTGCTCTTATTTTGTATGGTTTTATGGACTTCCAGATTAAATACTGTTCGTTATTTCCATATCCTTCTCATTACTAAACAAACCTGGCATAACCTTTTCTTTTTCGAATGGACCAACTATCTGGACAGTCTTGTGTTAATCCCTGGTGAGTTACTTATCACAGGTGATTTACTTTTACAGAGCTGCTAGCAGAACATGGATTAAAGCAGCATATTTCCGATGCAACACATCGTCTTGGTCATACGTTAGATGTGTTGATAACAAGAGAAGATAGTTCTATATTAAAGGGAATACCATTTGTAGCAGATCCTGGTATATGTGACAACAATGGAAACAGAAGTGGTGACCCCCTCGCAATTCGCACTTTACTGCGTCTGTCCAAAGCACCGAGAGAGAGAAGAACGGTAATCTTTCGGAAGATTCATGACATCAACATAGACAATTTCAGAAAGGATCTTGATTTTTCAAGCGTGACTTACAAGGAAGCATCCGTTGAAAAGCTTATCATTCACTACAATAGAGTTCTTACTGCTACCATTGATGTCCATGCCCCTCTGAAATCAAAGGAGATTGTTATACGACCGAATACTCCTTGGTTTACGGATGATCTTTATTCTGCTAAAAGAGATCGCCGAAAGGCTGAACGACTTATGAGACGAACAAACCTAGCAGTCCACAAGGACATTTTCAATCAGAAATGTATGCAGGTTACAAAACTCATACAACACTGTAAAAGTCAGTTTTATATAAACAAAATTCAGGAAATAGGCAGCGACTCGAAACAGCTTTTTAAGCTTACCAACAATCTCATGGGAAACACAAATTTATCAGTCCTGCTAGAGCATGACAGCGAAATCGATCTCGCATCCAAATTTGGTGAATTTTTTATTGGTAAAATTCAGAAAATCAGAGAAAACCTTTGCTCCTTGACCAAGTCTCCTACTAGGGAAGTTGTCCTTCGAGCTGACATCAAGTTTGATGGCATTCCTCTGGAAGCGTTTGAACCAATGTCGATTGCTGAGGTATGTGACATTATCGGCGATGCACCAACGAAGTCTTGCAAGTTAGATCCAATCCCCACAAATGTTTTGAAACAATGTTCAGAGAGTATTTTGCCAATCATCACTGAAATTATCAACAAATCCTTCTCAGAAGCGTCAGTACCATTGGATTTCAAAAAGGCCATAGTACGTCCATTGATTAAGCGCCAAGGACTTGACAAAGATGAATTCAAAAATTACAGACCTGTTTCAAATTTGCCTTTTTTATCTAAAGTATTAGAAAAAGCGGTGGCATCTCGACTCGAAAAATACCTAAACGATTACCAGCTTCATGATAACGTGCAGTCGGCCTACCGAAGTAGTCACTCTACAGAAACTGCCCTGCTACGGTTGCACCATGATATTACCTCTTAACTGGATAAGAATTCATGCGTTGCTCTCGTAATGCTAGATCTCTCGGCTGCATTCGATGTGATTGATCATGATATACTAATCAGTCGCATCGAATACGCGTTTGGTATCACAAGATCGGCGCTTTCATGGATAAAGTCTTATTTATCTGTTCGCATTAAAAAAATTGCTGTAGGTTCGACATTCTCGAGAGAGTTCTTACTCCAGTTTGGTGTGCCACAAGGGTCTGTTTTAGGACCTCGTCTATATTGTATGTTCTCCAAACCCATCGGAGAAATTTGTCGGAGACATAACATGTATTACCATTGTTATGCTGACGACACACAGGTTTACCTGATTATTAACCCGAAGGACAGTTGGGACGACATTGAGAATAGACTTGAACGGTGTCTGTCTGATATGCAAGACTGGATGCAAAATAACATCCTTAAGTTAAACCAGGATAAGTCTGAACTCATCATCTTTACACCGAAACGTATGGCAAATGAATTTACAGGACGTAAACTCGCTTTTGGTGGATCAGTCATCAGTAATGCTTCCTGTGTTAAAAATCTCGGGGTATTTTTCGACAGCAAATTAAGCATGGACTGTCAAATCAATTCGGTTACAAGATCCTGTTATTTCCATCTTCGTAACATAAGGATATGGAAATAACGAACAGTATTCAATCTCAACGTCCATTAAACAAATATACAAAACAAGAGCAGAGCAAACACGGACCTCCGAAACATCAGAGGTGGGATCAGGTGCCATGGAGGAGTGAGCATCCCCTGCTGACCGGTCACACCCGCCGTGTGCTCATTGTCATAATCAGGAAATAACGGAAAAAATCCGTAGTCAATTCAGTGTATAAATAATGGACTAACAATTGGTATGAAAAACGTCAGTCAGCATTTCATTCAATGATAAATTGTATTTGCTGACAAGGTCATTGTATCGACCATAGAATTTACGAAATGATGACTTTAAACGAGACTGTTGATCGGAAGAATAAGATCACTCATAACAGAGGATGCTTGCAGGACACTTGTTAGATCTTTAGCGACATCTAGACTTGATTATGGCAATGCACTATTCTTTGCCCTCAATGCCACATCCTTGCAAAAGTTGCAGAAAGTTCAGAACACTGCAGCCAGACTGGTGACACGTTTGAGAAAACATGAACATATAACACCAATTCTCATAACTCTTCACTGGCTACCTGTGGCATACCGTGCACAATATAAAATTCTGTTGTACACTTTCAAGGCCTTACAGAAGCTAGCCCCGAAATACATCCAGGAACTTATTCAGGTCTATCGCCCACAAAGTTTACTACGGTCTGGAGATTCACTGAGCCTTGTTAAACCACGCACTCGAAGTAAGATGTATGGAGATAGAAGGTTTGATGTGTCTTCAGCTACCCTGTGGAACTGCCTCCCACTGGATCTTAGGAAAGAACAGTCACTTGAAGTGTTTAAATGAAATCTAAAAACACATCTTTTTAGACTTGCTTTCAGTTTATAAGGCTCTAGTTACAACGGAGCATCCAGTTGGTTTTATAAAAAAAATGCCCTTTGATTTGACCTTTTTGCTATTTTATATTGAACCCGTCCTTTGTTTTATATTGTAATTGTTTTCTACGTGTAAAGCGCTTTAGGGTAATTCCATAATTATATAGGGCGCTATATAAAAGTAGAATAATAATATAAATAGAATCATCATTGGCAAAAAAGTGTTGTAAAATATCAGTATCTTAAATTAAACTCAAATTAACCGCACACCCATAATGAAACATTTTGTAAATGTGTATCACATCACTTCATTGAAGGCTTGCGTTTCATGTTTATACAAATTGATCATAATAACACTTAATTTTCTTTTTAACACTCTCATTTCTTTTTCTTCTTCAAAGCAATGTTCAAGTGAATTAACTTGAGCATAGAAATGGGCATACTTATTGTAATATCATTTAACAGTTAAAGTAAGCATGCAGTGTTACTTTTGTGGTTGCACCATCCTCTTCATAGAAAAAAGGGCCTATGATTCCTGTACTGCTCATTACTCCAGTATATAACCTTCTGACTATGTAGTGGTCTCTCTTCATAAAACTTAGGCTCTGAAGTTCCCCAAAAACGCATGTTTTCTTGTTTACATGTCCATCAAGTGTAAAATGGGCTTCATCTGACCATATCACATCGGTTAAAGAAATGTTTTCCATCATCCATTTAGCAAAACAAAGCAGGGAGAAAACATCGGTTTCTTTCAGATGCTGCATTATCAAAATGTTGTTAGATGATAAGTTTCAGTTGAATTTCAATATTCCATAAACTGATGAGGAACTATTGATAGACTCCTCTCACTGATTTCTGTGGTGTTTCATCGATGATTGTCTTCACCATATCCAGATATACCTGTGAATATCCTATTCACATTCTCATCCCGGTTCCCTCAAATTGGAAGTTATTATACAAGTACAGATGTGTGTTTTGAATTCCATCATAACTCTCAAGAGCGACTTTTAACTCTTTGGCTGTTGTTATAACCTGTCCATCATAGCCATATCGTTTAAAAAGGATTTTCATAGGAGCTGTTCCTCTATCACAAATGCCCTTCCTACTTTAGGCTTCACTGAAATCATGGCATACGTGTATTCCTGTTCTCTCTGATATTCCTTCTATGGAAGCAATCAAGGTACTACAGTGATATCAAGCAGCATTGTCACTTCTGAGATATACTCTTGTTATTTTGCTGTTCTTGATGCATTGTTGTAAGTTCTCTAGTATAGAAGCAACTGCAAACCATCATTGGGGTATACAATGAAACATACACGTAACAGTCATTACTTATCCGAGATCCTTCAAACAACACTGTCATGCCTTTGCATCGCTTAAACAGTTTGTTTGTAAAGCAAAAAAAAAAAGATAAAGGTATGGAACTTTTACACTGGGTTCCCAATTTTGCTAATATAAAATTCACTTTCTATTTAAATCTATTTATAGATAAAAGTTCTTCGCCAAAGCTTATTCCAAATTTCCATATATTTCTCGAGATACATAAATTGACTACATACTACATATACTTAAATGATCTTTTTGTGGATAATTCGAGGTCTTAATATAACGAAAGAAAAATGCATTGTATATTTTTGGTCTTACAATGTACATTTTATGTTTTAAACGTAATTGTAAAAATAATAATGTTCTAAAGTGGCCATTGAGATTTATTTTTTTTCTTTATGACTTTAACTTTGTGAAAGTTGTGTCCTGGAATTTTGGAGGTTAAACAAATGAAATGGGGTATGGATAAATTAATCATTATCAAAGAAAATGTGTACTCTATGTTGAATTTACTAGTATGTAGATAATAATGGTTTCAATATGATAAATTGATGGTTACGGTTCCAAACCATAAGGACTTATGATCAGAACAAAAACCCAAGAAAATGACATTCAAAATTTGCATGTAAGTGGCAAAGGAGTTACAATTAAAAAAAATGACGACGAGTCCATCCTGTGAAAATAGTTTGTTCAAGATCTGATCAGACAAATAATTACCAGCAGAATAGAGGATGACGTTGAAATGAACATACCTATGGAGTTGAAATATGAAAAGGATCATCGGATGGATTGCTTCCTATCTGGCACCAGTTCCACGACCATCAACAAGAAAAACTGTAGCTGCTCAAATCTCTAGATTTGAAAATGTAATGATTGATTGATTGTATATTGTTAAAACAATTCAGTTTTCATTGAAACAGTCTGTTCAATTTGATCCTTTTATTTTAGTTCCAAGGAGCACAGCAAACACCGTTCATCCTAGAGGCAACAGAGAAGAGAATGAATTCTCAAGGAACGAAATATGGGGTACGTTCGATTTGGGAACCCGTGTCACACGTGTCTTACTCTCCGTGGGAGTAAACGTCAGTGCTCGAGCTGTAATTCGCCATTGTCGCCAATTGCGAATTTTTTTCAAAAGTGGCGAAAAGAAATTCATAAGTGGCGAAAATGAATTTTTTAGATTACCATGTACAAAATTTGTGTAGTCCTGGTAAGCTCCTTTGTTTATTCAATGTATACAGATAAGTCCCTTTGTTTATTTAATGCAGCAGAGGTGTGAAAACTGAAGCCTACATGTAGGAAATCATGTCTCGCTTGAACGAACACAGTTGACTAGGTAACTAGCCTGCAGCAATAAAGGGTTACAAAATTGAAATAATATAATTTGAATTAAACAAGGGGGGATAAAGTGTTATTAGGAGATGAAGTTAGAAAATAAAAGATTTTTATCAACAAAATCTGCATCTATATAGATCGTTTTTTTAAAAACAGAAAATAGGGAAACATGAAGAAAATTGTAAAGAATGGCTTCAAATTTTACTTAATGAAAATTGAAAAATGTGCACATTATACCATAAACTGACAAAGAGTGAAAATGAAATTGGTTTAGAAACAGAATTATCTTAGTAAATTAAATTGAATTATTTACAATTACATGAGCTTGCATATGAAACCCTGGAGTCTCCAAGTTGTTAAAAGAAAGTCTCGTTTTAAACCTAATTTTCATTACTTTTTAATTATACATCTTTTCTCATTTTTATTAATTAATGAAATGATGAAAATTTCCATTTTAAATAATGTCAAAAATATTTACTAGGTCTGTAACCCCCCCCCCTTCCCAGGCAAAAAAAAATAAACAAGAGGATATTTTATATCAAATTAATTGTATAATTCCAACATTAGTTTTTTTTAAAATGGATACTACCATAAGCTTTAAACATTACAATTTTAAATCAATGTCTGTGATAAAGAAAATAAAAAAATTGAATAACATAAAGTGCATTGCATTGTAGAGAAATCAGATGTAAGTATGCCTTTCCTTTTGTCGCGAAAAGTGGCGAAAAATATTTTCAGTCCAGTGGGAGCCCTGGTAAACGTGTTCCAATATGGCGGCGGGTGGAGAAGAACAGTAAGATTGCATTAACAAAATGATATTTCTAAGACATAATACCGTTTTATGCACATGAATCTCGATTGCATATATTTAATTGGATACGAATTGATGTAGTTTATGCAACAAGGCTCACTCACTGTCAGTATTACGTCTTAAAATCGAAATTGAATTTTTAAGTGCCACTTTTTCGCCGAAAGTGTTATTGGTTAATTATATATAATATTAATACAGGACGAAAAAAATGCTCAAGTCCCTCCTGTAATGAGTGCAGATTTTCAATATTTCATAATTTGACTTAAAAATTACTGAAGTTTGCAATCATTGATTTTGCGCATAAACATTTCTGAGATATTAGGCCACAATATAGGCCTACCATTAATCTTTTTACTATATACTATATATTATATTTTTATATTTTTTTATTTAAAGGCTTTTCAAAATTTCCGTCACTGATGGATGAAAAATTTATGAAGATGCAGATTGCAACCTCGTAGAAATACTGAACTCAGATGGTAAGTGATTGTTAGTCAGTAACCAAAAACATAATTTTTTAAAGTATATTATAAGCTGTGACTATATTTTAAATGATACATGCATAAAAACTTTGTGGGTTTTTAGGTTGAATTTTTAGTATCCTGCATACAAACAATTTCCTTTAAATATGTGACAGAACTGCTTTTTAGGTAGTTTTGTTTCGCAAAGTGAATATTACTATTGAATTGCATGAATATGCCAATTTTGATTATCTTGATTTATAATAAATATTTTAAATAATTCTATCTTTATATCAGAATGATGAAAATAAAATGATCCATGATGAGATAAAGTTGCTATTGTTGAAGGTAGTATTTTGATTTTATTGCAGATCAAGAGAGAAGAAAACAGGCTCTTGATTTTATCAAAAGTACCTCAGGCTGTCAAGGTAATTAAATTGTAAAACCATTCTTACACTGATCAAATCTCCTATTGCAATGCTATTTGGATTGTAAGTGCTTAAAGAGCTGTACAGATGTGTGCCCCAAAAGTGAAGATAATTCTATTTTATCTCTCTATGTTTCATTGAACACAATATTTTGTAAAATCACTGGTATGATAACATTTCTTGACAGATTTCATCACAATTTTTTATAGTCCAAGACATTGTTGTAGTTGATCAAAACAATTTAATAGTTTTATCTGATCAGCATTGATAATTTAAAAATATTGTAATTTGACTGTATCATGAATTTTTAAGTCACATACTCACAATTTATGAATCATATAGTCAACATTGATCTTGAATTTTAGAACTGATTTTAAGTGATGAACTGTCTTTTACTATAAATTAAATTAAGTTAACTTAAAATTAAGTTGAAATTAAATATGTGATGATCTTTCAAGGAACTATTAGAGAAAAAATAAATTTATCACTTTTGGCACACAACTGTAGATGCTCAGGGTTCCAGATAATTTTAATGCGCCTGGATCTTGTGAGGCGTATATTGTTTTTCTCTAGTCTCTTTGTCGGCAAACTTTTACCTTCGTCATAACTT